TCTGCTCCTAACGCTCCCTGCATGCCGCCCCAAAATGGCTTGTGTGCAGCAGTCTTTTGCAGCTTCTTGGCCCCAGCCCTCCCACAGGTCCAAGAAACTGGACTCCATCTTGGCAGCAGCAGCCCCATAGCCCCCCTTCCTTTATCTGCTCCCTTCAGTGAATTCCTCTCAGCTTTTCCTTGTCCAATTGAAATTCCTCAACTACAAAGGCCTCGCTGCATCCATGTTGTTCTCCTCCGTTTCAGTTCTCTCTTTCCCAGTTTTGGGCCATCTCTTCCCACGCACGGCACCAATTATATTTCCTCCCTTTGAGCTCTTCCATGAGGCCTCTCAAACACAGAGAAACCATGCTGCAGGACCAAACTGCACCCACTCAAACTAACCACTGAATCGACTTAAACCACAGCTCCCCAGGGCAGGTTACTCACCAGTACCAATGGACAGGCCACTGCTGTTGGATCGGATTGTTTTAGAGTTCAACACCTTTTCTGCAAGGAGAGAAGCATGCCTTCAGTTAGAGTGCTGCATGGAAAGCAAGACAACTCCTACAAAGGCATACAACAAAGCCAATGTTGCAGGCCTAGAGCTCCGAGCAGCTTGCCACACTCCCCCAACAGCAACCTGGCCTGTTCCCAGGCAGAATTTATAGTCCTGGTCCTGGCAAGCAATACATCTCCATAACCAAGATCCCAAAATTTCATCCTAAACTTACACTTACCAACAACGATGATGGTATGCCAGCCACGGCACGACAGGTCTGGTACATGATGCAATGATCCAAATATTGGCCGAGGCCACGAGGTACAAATATCCGAGCCATGAGCTCTCTCAGTTGATGTCATTGCCAGACGCCCATTCCCGCCGTTACCCCAGGCAAAAATATGGTTGTCTGAGGAAAGAGAGATTCAGGAGCCTCAATTCCCTCCCTCCCTCCTTCTTAGCCTGTAATTGCTATGAGGATCGCAGCCTCTCTGCTGTAACTGCTATCCCAAAGTATCTAATCCACCAGCTCCATTTTGCCAGTGGAAGAACAAACTGATAACGAATCTAACAGGCAGCCACCAAGCTGGCACTCTGCAGCCCCAAGGACAGAATCATAGAATCATAAAATTGCTTAGGTTGGAAAAGACCTTTAAGATCATCCAGTCCAACCATTAACCTACACTACCAAGTCCACACTAAACCAATCAAGGGTAGACTAGACTAAACCATGTCCCGAAGTGCCACATCTACCTGTTTTTTGAATGCTTCCAGGGATGGTGACTCCACCACCTCTCTGGGCAGCCTGTTCCAATGCCTGACCACCCTTTCCGTGAAGAAATTTTTCCTAATATCCAACCTAAACCTCCCCTGGCGCAGCTTGAGCCCATTTCCTCTTGTCCTATTGCTACCTACTTGGGAGAAGAGACCAACACCCACCCCACTGCAACCTCCTTTCAGGTAGTTGTAAAGAGCAATAAGGTCACCCCTCAGCCTCCTCTTCTCCAGACTAAACAACCCCAGTTCCCTCAGCCGCTCCTCATAAGGCCTGTGCTCCAGACCCTTCACCAGCTTCGTTGCCCTTCTCTGAACACGCTCCAGCACCTCAATGTCCTTCTTGTATTGAGGGGCCCAAAATGCAAATGCTTGGCGCTGCACTGGGACAACTAACAGGGCCAGACAGCCCCAGGCTAGGAGGATTTCTTTATTTCAGTGCATAGACCCCAGACTGCCGTGGGGATAGTCTAGGAAATGATCAGTGGGAACCAGTTAACCATATTACAGATCTAGGTCAAAGTAACCCACCACAGCTTCGCAAAGACCCACTCACCGTCAGTAGCAGCTATGGTGAATTCATCTCCACATGAAACCCTGATCACCTGCTTACCCCCCAAGGGGCCTCCCAGCAGGTTAATTCCCAGGTGCTTCTTATAGTCCCCAACACCAAGCTGTCCGCACTTGTTGGAGCCGAAGGTCAGCAGGCGGCCTCGCTCTGAGAGAAGGAACGAGGAGACAGTCACAGCAAGGGCCCAACTCTGGAAGCAGCCATGCATGCAGAGAACTAGTAGCAGCAGCCCATGACCAGGCAGGACTCTGCCGAGAAGCCAGCCAGGCTGGGAGGGGACAGTGCCAGCCAAGAGGAATGGCTTCAGCCTGGAAGCACCTCCCCAGTTCCTTCTCCCATTGCTCCCCTTTTCTGATGCTGGGGGCTGGGACTCATCACAGCCCTCTAACTAGTGTCATGTGGGCAAAGCCTAACTTGGTCATAAGCAATTCCTCCGCTATCCCAGAGCATGATTCTTCCCCAAACTTCCCCCGCCCCCCCCCTGGCTCTTCTGCCCCCAATCCTCCCCCCCCCCCCCACTTCAACAAAATAGGAAGGCTGACCCAGAAGCTGATGTTGCTGCTTCAGCTGGCCAGGAGGCAACACTGCTGAGGAACAGGAATCCTGGGTTCCTGGAGCAGGCATGAGCCCTGCTACCAAGAGCACAACCCTCAATGTCAGGGCCAGGCTGAAAGGGCAAAGCTGATGTAAAGTAATCCACCAACCAGTATTCACTTCTTAATACACAGGGCTCACCATCAATGGAAGCTGTGTGTGTCTTCCCTGGAGAAATGGTACGGATCTTGTAGAAGGACAGCTGCTTGGCCAAAGTAAGGGAAGTGGCATATGGCACCTCACAGTATGTCTGAGAAAAGACATGTGGGTAAGCACAGAGTGAAAAACCACACATTCATCAGCTAAGACCTACTCAAGCAGGTCTTGGCAGACCACAACACGAATCTAGTCCCACCACGGGTATGGTAAAGAACTGCCAGAATCCTTGTCACTGGCTAACTCACCCTGGAGCAGCTCGCTATCTGTTTCACTACCTCAGATCTGACATAAGCCCATAGGGCAGACAGGAAACCGAGGAACAAATTGCCTCTTCCCACAATCCCAGTATCCACTATCTTGGATTGGAACTAACAAATTGGCACAAAGCTAACGAATGCTGTGTCACTGTCACAGGACCTCCATCTCCCCAGATACTACTGACTGCTGGGAGCTGGAGCCAGGGACCCAAATTCACTTACGTCATGGTTGATTATCCCTGATGTGCACTGATTCAGGCCCAGCTTGTTGAACTCGTTGAGTCCACATGCCAACACTTTGCCTGTCTGGGTGAGCAGGAAAGTCCCATCACAGCCACAGTGAACGGACACAATGTTTAAGGTCTTTGGAACATCCACCTATGTGGAAGAAATATATCCCAAGAAAATCAAAATCCCAACACCTACTACATAGAAGCTGGCACATGGAAAACATATGGGGTTAGAGCAGCAGTTCAGCTCATCTGGACACTGACAATACCCAATGCAGTTATTTTGAATGAAGGTGCAAGAATATCATAAAGTCTATATAGCATACAAAAACTCCGGTCACAATGCAGAAATTCAAGGCATTCTAGACCTTGTGTGCAGACACTGGTGAGCCAGCACAGGAACCAGAAATGCGCACAGGCATCCTGGCCAGCTGGGGTCTACAAGCACCAGACCCAGTTAGCTGAGCAGGGCTGGGTCTGTGCTGTGTGGGTATGATACCCTGTGATCACAGATATTTGGCTTCCAGGCACATCCTTGTTGGTTTCTAACCCCCAGCGGGTTAGGTTACCTCAGTTACCCCTAGCACTGTATTTCAAGAGGGTTTTACTTTCAACTCATCTTTAACCCATCATGTCAAATTCAAAGACTCCCAATTGTTTGCACTGCTTTGAGTTTCCTCTACAGACCCGAGGTATGCAATTTGGTATTTCCTACTATGATTTCTACAATATTAAGTTTGGCATTTCCAGTTCCAGCTTGGAGATCAGAGCAATGAAGCTCTAAGTCATGATGCTGCCTGGTTTGGGAGTGGCATGCCCCTCTGCCACGATCTCTATGGACAAATGAAGCAAAATAAAGTGAGGAAGTAAAGTTAAAACCCTCGCAAACTCTATGATATCTCAGAAAAAACACCGGACCCTGACAGTTAATATTTCCAAACAGCAACTAATTTGGATTTATGCCCATGCAGATTTCAGGAAGTAGTCGTCACAGCCCTACCTTCTGAGGGGTGTAGTGATCTTCTTCTGAATCCAAGCCCAAGCGCCCTGCGTCAATGAAAACACTGCAGTTAGAAGTGCCTGCCCTTAAGAAATGCTATTGCCTCTCCATAGTTCCAAAGGAATCTCCCTACAGAACTAGAAACCTGCTCCTGTACGTGCATCGTTGCCTGCCAATCCTCAAAGTAATCCAACCCCACTCACAGAACAACTGCCCTACCCACAAGGAAGCCAAGCGGCACCCTAGAGCTTCGCTAAGTCCCAAGGGCTCAGTCCTCAGTTCCCCATTCTTACAAGGAAAGCAAGCCCCAAAGAAACAATGCTTTTTGCCCCCAGGACATACCAGACAGCCTTCACCCAGGCCCTGCATTATACACCTGCACCAAGCTGCTTTCTGGAGCAGGCATGCCCCAGTGCCTTTAGGTCCCAGAGAGACTCTACCTACCATACTCTCCACAGCCCCACGTGTAAACTTCTCTGTTCCTGGTCAGCACTGCCACGTGGTTATCGCCACACGAGACCTGCTCCACAGGGTTGGTAAGAAAGAAATCCAGCTGCAGGGGCTCAAGCACTTCAGAGCCATAAGCCTTGTCAACACCAATGCATCCATAATAGTCCGAGCCAAAGGCATACACCTGGCCTTCATCTAAAGGACACAAGGGAAGCTCGGTCAGCACACAGAGCTTGTATTAGGCTGCACATTAACCTCTTCGGACACGGCCAGAGCAACCTCTTTTCTGTAATCATCTTCCTCTTTAGTGCAGAAGAATGTCATCAGGAGAATATGGAGTCCTTTCTTGTTCACATTAAGATGCATGACCTTACCCCACAACCTGCAGCTATTTCAGGCCACTGGTGTAAAAAAATGTTGGGTTGAACCTGCCACTTTCTTTAATAGAAACCCACAAATGATCCTGTGGCTCCCCGAGTCACTCCTCCAGCACTGAGCATCTGAGTTTATCTCTATCAAACCTCTGCTTTTCCAGCATTGGCAAAATAAGCTGGAAACTACCTTGGTGAGAATCATGTTTTCATGAGTAAAGTGAGATTCAAATTCTTCCACAACAGATAACACCACAGTTAACACATCTTTAAAAGTATGAGCAGGGTTAGAACTAGACACAGCTACCAGGCCTCAAGCTTTCTGAATTAAATAGCAAAGCTCAGGTACACATCATCTCTTGCCCCACACAGTCCAAAAAGAGTTTCAAACACATTTACATTCTTGACTTCAGGCTCCTCTGTCTTTAATATGGGCATGTATGGGGGCAACACATGCACTGGTAAGAGCAGGGACTTTGCACAGCCACAAGGAGCTGTGCTCAACACCTGGCCACCAAAAAGGAGCACATCCTTAGCAAAACACCCAGCCTTCTTGGGAGTCAATATCTTTCTCTGTATAATAGTGTTGATCTATCTCCACTACTGCACCTACTAGCCTCAAAACTGAGAGGTGAGTTACATATGGGACTTTCTCCTTCGTGCACAAAGCTCCTCTGCTGATCTTACTGTGAAGGCAAACATCTCCACAGCACAGCAAAGCAAGGGGATGGCAGTCCCCTTCCAGCTCTCACCTGTGATGCACACTGTGAAATCATCTCCACAGGACACCTGGCGAATGGCTTTTCCCTGAAGCTTCTCAACATGCTTTGGCTGCCGGTAGGAGGCTCTGTCTCCATGTCCCAGCTGCCCGTGCAGCTTGGTGCCCCCCTGCATATTCTGCAAGACAGAAACATCTGGTAAGGTTATGCATCCACAACTCCAGAGACGGTGTCAATAATTATGGCACCTCGAACGAACAACAAAAGACAGCAAAGAGCAAGAGAAAGTGTGTTAGCTACCTTAGGGAAGAGACTGTTGTCTGCTATGTGGCATAACAGCAGGCAACATTCTAAATGGTAGCACAGGCTTTCAGGCAGTTATGCACTAACAAGGAGTAATCCGGTCTCAGGCCGCCAGCTGGTGAGGAATCCCTGCTCCCTTCTCATCTGCCAGGCTACAGAACCTGCTCCCTGCTGCAGGACTGAAGTTCATCCTTCAGCTTTTAGACCTACTTTTCTAAATCCTAATGGCTGCAAAGAAACCCATAACTTGAAACAAATGTCACTGAAGTGGCCAGACCTACCAATTCTACAAGAAAAATAAAACAATTCTGAGTAGTGTTAAAGCTAAAACTAAAATATTAATAGCCAGCTGGAAGTTTTCTGTGGCCCTTCTTGCAGGAACATCCAGCAAATGACTTCAGGGTGCTCTCCTCCCATTTGGGTCTCTTTCTTCTCTCACCCACCTGCCAGTATTTTCTAATCTGTCTTAACAGATTCTGCATCATCAGTATAAAAGCCTGTGGAAGCCTGGAGATGCAGAATACCTCCATGTCACTGACCATCTAAGCCCAAGAAGACTGGATTAAATTGTTTTAAATGCATTATATGCCAACATTTTTTTAATTCACTTTAAACTATTACAGAATTTCCACTCATCATAAAAACCAGAGTTGTTTAGCGTAAGACATCTCTGGTTTCATCCACAAGTTGCCTCACAGATGACATCTGTATTATGAGGTCACTCATCCCACCCATTCTGATCTCAGAAAACCTTCCTCAAAAATACACAAGCCAACAGAGCATCACAAAGCCTCCAGTGCATTTCTAGTAGTCAGGAATGGGAAGAAGAGATGTTTGACTCAGTGTCTGGGCCTACAAGTTCATCACCTACCATCCTCAAGTACACAGCAAGTCTCCAATACACTTCCTGTCATGATGGAAAACTTCTCCCAAAAACACATTTGCCTTGGGAGTCTTGGGTCAGCCCTGAAGCAGATGGCCTCACAATCAGATTTTCTCCTTTTCCAAGCTGCTTGCCCATCTGATTCTACCAGGCTCATGAACAGTCAGAAGTGGATCTGGACTCTCCTCTCCCACCCTTACCCCCTTCCACAAGTTTCTCTCACTTACCACCCAGGTGTAGAGCTCCTTCTCCACTGTCACCACAGCAAAGTGAGTGTTACCAGCACACACCTGGCGTGCACTGCAGCCACTTTTGATGGCATCCAGCTTCTGGGGGGTGGACTTCCCGCCCCCCCAGACATACACCTCACTAGTGCGTGAAGTCACCACTGCAATGGGAGCCTCATTCATGGTACTTGACCTGCACAAGACACCCCCCGCAAAACACACATACATTTAATAATGAGTTTGCGTTCACTGTCATCACTCATTTTCTTACTGTTGTCCGTCAGTTTTCCCTTCACAACCATTCATGTTTTTTACTTTCACAAGCCGTTCTCTTTGTTGAGTGGTTGTGAGGCCTCAAGTCCTACAGGGAGACTCAGGATCAAACCTGTCTCAGAGCCGCAGAGAAAGCAGCCTCCAGGAAGCATTTTAAAAAGCCTACAATCCAATTTTATGTAATTTAAAAAGACTGGGCTTTCACTGAATGGCCACGGAGCTGTTCTCATTTGTGAAAAATGAAAGCCTTACACACCATCATGAAATCTTGCTCAAAATACAGAAACATCCAAAGGCTTCTGACTTTCCTCTCCTCTTTATTCAAATTACAGGCTTCCATCTGATGACAAAAACACAACTCTTCAATGCAGGTAAGAATCAATTCACAAGCAGATTGCAAAGTGGAAGTTGTAATCAAAGCAAACTGTTTGCGAGCAACCCATGAACTGGAACAACTTCACATAAAGTGCCCAGATAGTACTTCCACGTTTATGAGGGAAAAAAGGTCAAATTCCATCTGACAAATCAACAGAAAAAGAGCTACACATGTCACAGAAGCTACCTGCTTCATGGAGCAACCCTGCTTACAGGCTTGCGGGTGACTGTGGAGAACCTCTGCATATATCCAGTTTTATGAAAGATATTTATATTCATTTAATATTCAACAATCAGACAGTCATATTCTTCCTGTTCAAGGGAATCTGTGTGAAAGGAAGGATCTACATGACATCCTCAGATATGTAGGCTGTAAAGACTACATCCTCAGTAGGACAGATTAGAGCTCTATGGGACCTGCTGAGGTAAGGCTCCAGCCATACATATAAACGGGATATGAAAGGCAGAGTAAAATGTGGGACAAGAACCGTGTAACAACTATGTCAAATTTCCAGCATTTAGGGATCTTCTAAACTACACTATTCCATTAAGGTTGTCACAGACTAACACTCTCAGCAAAGTCCCTCTCTGGGGAGCTGTTCTCTCCAGACCTCCTTTCAAACACATGCCCAAGTAATTACCTTGGTCGCTTATTTGGCCCATTAAGCAGTGTGACTTTCTCTTCCATCTCCCTGCCAAAGGAGAAAAAGCATTTTAGGAAACAGTAACATCGCCCAAAGCAATTTACTGACAAGCAGCACACACCAACTGCTCTCCTTTCCAATAAAATGCCGCTCCCTCTTGGAGGAAATGTGGCAGCTGTTTACCAGCTCACAGCAATACACAGTAAGTAGGGCGGAAGTAATGTACCATATAGCTAACAAACTTCCAGGAGAGCTGAGGACAACAAACTATGTATATACCAGAATGTGGCCAACCAGTACTCATATGGCACAAAAATGACCTTCAATGGCTAAATATTATCAGGACTTGGGCTTTTACCAGTGCATACAGCAAGACAAAACTCAAACTTTGCTGACCACCAAGTAAAAGAACCTTGGTGTAAACGACTAAATCTGCTGTCCCCAAAGCAACCATTGTGGGATCCAAACAGTCCAGAGTTATGGTCTACCTTTCACAGAAAGACAGTATGTGCAGGCTGATGGTCAAACTAAGCTACAATGGGCCACTTCCAATGCAACTCTCCCCCGAAGAGGGAGGCAACAAAGGGAGAAAGTGAGGGTCTCTATATTGCTTGATGTGTATATTTTGAAAGGCCTTTTCCGATGACCATAGGAGGATCTCTGTGACCCTTCATTCACAGAGATCTGAAGAGCAGGAACCAGCATTCCTCAAAGGAGCCTCAGAAAGGGATGCCTCAAGGTTCTTAATACAACAACCTCTAAGACAAAGGATGCAGAGACCTTTCTCACCATACCCATACACCAACAGAACATAGGGATTGATGAGAAGACAAGACAGCAAGAATGCACTTCTCTCCTAAAGAGGATGAAGTGTACTTCAACTGCCTCACTAGTCAGCACAAACCCTCCTGTTCTCCCTGACACCTGTCTAGGTTTCAGGCAAGACCATCCAATTACCTCCTGCGTTTGCTGAGAAGGGGATGTTCAAGCAGTTCATCTGCAGTGGGTCTCTTCTCTGGATCCTGAAAGAAGCAAGCAACAAGTCATTCTCTGGGAAATATCATCTACAACAAAATCTTGATCCAGAAGACCTCATTCAAGCCTGCATGGACCTCCGTCCCTGACTCCCTTCAGAAGGGAAAGGAATTAATTCAAATATTTGGAATGAATAGGAATAAATGCCAAGGATGTGCAGGAGGGACTTCCACGCTCTGAAGGTATCAACACTATGTTTGCTTTCAAGAAATTAATTCCCTAAAGAAAGTCAGAGTCATGGTCAGAAAGTCAGAACCTTAAGAGACTGTACTGAGATGATGCTCCCACTTCCGCAGCACTGCATTAGGAAATAATTGCTTCTGCCAGCCCATTAAATAATTGTCATCAGAGTAAACCCAGCACTCCTCCAGAGTTTGCAGGACTGAATGGCATCTTGAGACAATGCTTTCAGAGGACTGGAAGAAGCCCAGCCTTAGTGACGCCTCGGGCCTCACAGAAATTACCCTGCATCAACAGCCCTCATGCTGAAATAGGCATGTCATTCCCCTTCACCCCTGAATTCCATGGCTTAGGCAGCTGGGAAGGGGTGTCTGAAAACTAAAAAAGTATTTCACCAACCTGATCAAGGCAGGAATTCACCATCTGGATCAGCTCCCGGGAGTAGACAGTGGAATCAACCTCCATGGCACGATTTCCCTGTACAATCTTCACACAAAGGTTCAGGGGATTCTAGGCAGAAACCAGAAACCAGCACTAAGAGAACTGAACTGGACAATGTGTCCAACGGGGACAGATGCTACAGGCCACCATTATTTTCTTCCTCCTTCTCTGATCAGGACACATCCTTCTTCTTCCCTGCCTAGTAGGTTCTCCAGAAACCTAATAATAATTCCTGCAGAAATGGTACCTCTGATAGCTAGGACTTGGTGGCAACATCCAGCTTTTCACCAAATGCCCTAACACGGGAGGGAGGGTAAGAGGGTAGGTTTCTCTCTGCATGGAGTCTCCTGTGCAGCATATTGCCATTGAAACACTGCACAGCAGCAAAGTTACTGGGGACTTGGTAGCCATGATGAGAGGAAGTCAGGAAAGGGTGGTATTTTCACATTGGCTCTTTAAGGGTAACAGAATCTTGCACCATGGCAGCTTGCATCTTTTCCCATCTCATGGCACAAGCTGGCAAATCACATACACCAGCCAGCAATGCTCCTCCTCACCCTCTTCAGGCCAGCTTGACCACACCTCTCTTGTACCCAAACTTTGAGAAAGGGTAACAGGATTAAATCCTATGAAATCCAAAGGCCAGAAGTTTTCACTACAGAATGCTGTACAGAAAATTCACAGCTAATAGTGCAGAAAAAAACCAGAAAGACTACACAATCACAAACTTCCTCCCTGTAGAGAAAAGGATGTTTCATTCACAACCATGATACAAATTAGCTCAGCAGGTATTCTGCATCTGGTAAACCCAGGGCTGCAGACAAGGGTGGGTTTGGCAGAAGCCAGAGAGGCACCTGCAGTGCAGGGTAGGAGAAATCAGGCAGAAGTTTTCTCTGGCTATAGTTGGCACCTCCAGGCCACTGTTTTCTTAATCAGCAGATTTAAACAACAATGAAAGAAAAATGTGAGTTAAGAAAGCTATGAGTAAAGTGTGAATCTCAGGGTATAAAAAATAAGGCTACTCAGTCCACCCTGGTTTGCAGACTTACAGTAGCATCAAAGGTCCTCTTCAGAGTAAGCAGCTCAAAGATGACACAGCCCACAGCCCAAATATCTGATTTGAAGTTGTATTTCACACCCTGGCAGAGTTCTGGGGACATGTAATATGGAGTTCCCACCAGCTAGGAAAAAAAAAAAACATTTAAAAATCAGAAATGATCAGCAGCTTTCAATTCAGGAGCTCTGCATCCATCATGTTCACACAGGCCCACGAGCATCAGAGCTAGACACAGCTCTGACACAGCACTGAAGTGACACAGATGACACACCCCACGAACGTGCTGCAGTGATGGGAACAGCAAGCACGTTTCTTCCCTTCTTGTCCACAAGCCTGTGCCTGCGTTTCTTAGAAGATCCCAGACACCTCTTTGCTCAGATCCTAATGCAGTACATACTTCCCAATAGAGTAGTAGTCATGAGAACGCAGCAAGGACTTGCCTCTCTCTTCAGTATACTACATTTAGAGGTAATCAGGGGCTTAAGTACTGACCAGGCACATGGAAACCCTCATAAGAGGTTGAGGGAAAAGGGATCTAGCAAAGCTTCCAAACACAGATGCCAGCCCATGGCTATGGAGCCACTCTGTCTGATCACAAGGTACTGCCAGGACAAAGGCTACTCTGTCTCCAACAAAAGAGGGGTTACTTTTGGGTCAGTAAGTAGAAAGCTGGCATGAGTCCCACCTGAAAGGCTTTCACTTCAGAAGTGGGCTTTCCTGAACAACTGGTTTAAAGCAAACACCCACCACCACACACAAAATCCCAAACCCCAGCATTTAAATACAGAAGCCCTCCCAGCTACAACAGAAATAGTGGCATAGCTCAAAGTCACAACAAGGAGACACAAAACAAACATGATAAAAGGCGTAAGAATGAAGCTTCCAGATGAATGGAGCTCATTCCCTAGCAAGGAACTAGACAGCGAAAGAAAATGAAAAAGACAGAGTTTAGAAGAACGGGAAATATTTATAGTTGCCCTCTTTTCAACTCTCTCAGCAAAGCTCCAAGGACTACAAAGCTTGCCTTTCATTAGGCTTTGCTAGTACACTAGATACCTAATAGGCACATTCAGTATCTGCCATCTCCCTTCCATTTCCTGTTACAGAGCGTGACAGCTACAGAGCTACGCGAGTCCTAGCCACAGGAAGGTTTAGAAGGCCACCTAGTTGGAGTATCATATGGAGAACTAGGACACTGCACCTAAACCTTTTTTAAGCAAAGGATAATGTAAGCTTTCCATAAGAAAGACACAGGCATATTCTCTGTATCTTCCTACGTAAATGGGAGAAAGAATGATAAATTAAGAAATCAGTATTTAGTAAGCAAGATATAAACATTTTACAAAATTGTAATTTGATTGTTACAATTACTGACAATAACATGTTTTGCACTCACCACAAAAAATTACTTCCAGACCGCCACTTGTCATTACATCACAAATTCAGCAACTAGCCCAGAGCACAGCTAGCATATACAGAATTAAATACAGTTGAAGGTATGTAGTTCAAAATTTTTCAGAAGTGAAAAAAGGAAAAAAAAAAAAACCAAAACACCTCGCAGGTGTACATGAACACACACAACACAGGCAAAAACAAACCTGGAAACTCATAGCACAGACTGCACTTTCTCTGAAAGCCAGAAGGCCATGAAAAATGTGATGAAACAGAAGTGGTTTTGCTGCAGGCCAGCTTAGTGAGGGCTTCATGCAGTAGCCTTGAGTTCCCACTTAACTGTGCAACTGCACAACAGCGCTCATGTTCTGGAAGGAGGTTGGCAAGTTTTTAACTACACATCCTAACAGAACACCAATAGCTTGCATTAAATCTAATAATACAGCCTGGTAAGCAGAAGTGCAAGCTGGCTTGCATCCCAAACTATAATAAATGCCTTTAGCAGATAGGAGCTCCAGACAATGTCTCCCTTTCCAAGCCTAGTGCTCACCACAGAAATTAATGGAGCTGGGAAATCCAAGCTGAGCCTTTCAGGTGCCTGCAACACCACTTACCCTGTGTCATAACTCTGGCTGCAAAACTGCTTTCTGGAAGGCTCTGGAACAAAGCCAAGCTTGTCAGCCTTCTGATAGAATTAATCTCTCCTACAAAACTTTGCGCCCCTCCAAGAACATTACCAATGAACCATACACCTGGTTACCATAAGAAGCACAAGTGCCCTTTTTGCTTCTTTGTAATCCAGTTCAGAGCCCGAGTATTACAGAGATAGGAGACATATCTACAGCATGGTGCAATAGCTTGCATGTGCTTGCCTGACATCTCAGATCCAGCTGAGGTAAAATGCCCCTGTTAGCACAGCAGCACGACCAAATTAATTTAACTTGCTAAGCTGGGCTTAACTAGCCCAGAGGAACAGCGCTGTACTGATGTGACTATACTGCTGTCTCTGTACCTTCAGATAGCACTGCCTTTGTGTTACATAGATTCACCTTTGGAAGTACCATGCCTAGTGTCCTGGTTTCGGCTGGGATAGAGTTAATTTTCTTCCTCGTAGCTGGCATAGTGCTGTGTTTTGGATTTAGTATGAGAACAATACTGAGAACACACTGATGGTTTAGTTGTTGCTAAGTACTGCTTATGCTAGTCAGGACTTTTCAGCTTCCCATGCTCTGCCAGGTGCACAACAAGCTGGGAGGGGGCACAACCAGAACAGTTGATTCGAACTGACCAAAGGGCTATTCCATACCATATGACGTCATGCGCAGGATATAAACTGGGGGGGGGTTGGCCAGGGAGCAGCGATCACTGCTCGGGAGCTGTCTGGGTATCCATCGGCAGGTGGAGAGCAATTGCATTGTGCATCACTTGCTTTGTACATTATTATTATTATACTGTTACTATTAGCATTACTATTTTACTTTATTTCAATTATTAAACTGTTCTTATCTCAACCCAGGAGCGTTTCTCACTCTTACTCCTCCAATTCTCTCCCCCATCCCACCGGGGTAGGGGGAGCGAGCGAGCAGCTGCGTGGTGTTTAGTTGCTGGCTGGGGCTAAACCACGACACCTAGGTACCAGGGAAAGAAGAGCAGTGCTCTCTAGCACAGCTATACTGGCTCTGGCACAATTCCATGCCCACAGTGGCACTTATCTTTAGTCTACTGCTGCTTTGCAGAGTCAGACTTCCAAAAGGTAACCTGGGAGCAAGGACAACTGCAGGCTGCAGCACATCAGCAAATATGCCAATGTTAGTGAGATAACATTGAGGGAAGTTGAGGGGAGAGGGAAAGGAAAACCACAGAAAACAAGAAGCAAGAATGTACAGCATCCTTGGTCTTCTGCAAGGTATGCAGAGATGAAAGAAAAACACACGTCAGTTTGCACACAAAGAAGGCAGATACTCACAGTCTCAGCCATAGAGTACTCGGAGTTCAGCTTCTTTGCCAACCCATAGTCTCCCAATTTAATGAGGTTTGCCTTGGTTAAAAAGATATTTAATGTCTTTATATCTCTGAAAGGAGAAAAAGAAATGCAGATACTCAAATATATTTCTGGGTTTCACAGTTTTCCACACACTGCTGTAACTCCCCCCACCAAATGAGGTACTTTCTACTCTGCCAGCACTCTCTCACACACACACAGAGCTCTCCAAAGGCAATTTGACCCCAAGTACTGGGGCAGTAACTGCAGTTATCCGTGTTTTATCACATCCCCACACAAACACAACACAGTCTAAAAAGCTCAGGCTTCAGACACCTATGTAAAGGCCACAGATCAAAGATAGTTCTTTTCCCCCTCTCAGTCTCTTCTCATACAAGAGTCATTGAGCAGGTCTTACTTTTCCTGGTTTTATAAATAGACCCAAGCCAGGAGTCACCGAGCTCACTAAAAACATAAATGTATGCATGAATAGGTATGTATGCAAACATAAATACACACACAGAGGGTGTGAAACAGATGCTACTCTAGAACTTAAACATAACATCCCTCTACCTTACGCCTCAAAAACAACTCTTTATAACATGATGTACTATGCCCAGAAGATCAAAAGGCTGATGGCCACTAAAATGCTGAATTCCAAAACTCATTGAAAACACTTTCTCCCAGACAGAATAACTTATACGTAGTTTCACAGATCAATATAAGAGGCTGTAAATACAGAGAGGAAGCCCCCGCAGTACGTTATGCTTCCCATGGCCAACACTTCATAACACCCCCTTTTCCTAACGTACCATCAACAACTTCACAGTGTAGATCAGGACAACATCAAGTAAAGCAGCACTTTGCATTCATCCACTTGGGGCATCGCAAAGTCCTGGGTCACTCTGACACTGTCTGCAGCAGAAGGAAATCACTGCAAACATTTAAATAACTGTTCAATTCATTATTACGGAAGGATTTGGGGCTACACATGTTCCTAGACTGTGAACCCTGCTGTGAAGATGGGCAACAGAGGTGGTAAGCAGGAAATCACTGCAAAGCAGGACAGACGTGACATCTGCTTGAGGTCAAAAACTTAGGCACTACTTTTTTGAGAGTAGGGTACAAACCCTTCATTAGCAAGGCTTGCCAATAACCAAAGATTTAGAATGGCAGCAACCAGGATGCTATCCCACAGAAAACACCCTCACACAGCTATGCTCATTAGTTAGAGAAGGATGTTGTGCAGCACACAATCCAGCCATGCTGGAAACAGCTGTCTGCATGCGCAGTACTCCCCAGAACATCACGGCCTCCCTGAAGCACACATTAGCCATGAAATTTACCCCTCTCAAACAGAAAAGAGCAACAGAAAAAGGTAATTAGCTACTCATTAAAATCTCAGAGTCAACATCAAAATTATCACTACCAGCTAACAAGCTATATTACTTCCTTAAATAACAGACCAAAGAAATGAGATTCAGCCAAATGCAAGACAAATTTCTGCACGGGTTATATTACAGCAATGCACCAGTGCAAAGTCTTTGTCACTGTTAGCCTCCAGGAATTACAGAAGAATGTACATGTTGGTTTGAAGCTATTAATTGTGGAGCAGGTAGGAAGTACCTTTGACCTGTGGTAATTGCTCTTCCTACCCACTTTAGCAAACATCATTTATGTGCTATGGCAATAAAGGGCCAATTTACTTCCTTCCTACATGGATAAACTCTTTGTTCACAAAGCTGCAGCATCGAAGACAGCAATTCCATTTTCACATACAAAATTTCTTGCCCATTTATCACAAGATGGTTTCTAGCCCAATAAAAATTCTTTACAGAAGTGATACTTAACATCTAGGCAGTCCCACTATGCTTTGGAGAAAAGCTCAGTGCTTGCTTTAAACACAGAAGCAAACACTACTCAAAGGAGTTCTGTACTTACATCCATGAACCACACTGGTTACCTCAGCTTTACCATAGGCCACACTCACCTGTGAAGAATTCCTGCTCGATGAATGCAGCTCACAGCCGATGCAATTTGAAAGAGATACCAAACCACCACCTGCAAAGGTAGGAATAAAAGCCTTATGTGAGGCTCAAACCCCCCGCCCCCAAAACCCCATATGTCCCTGTCACACAGAGGCACAGCAAGAAGGCCTGACCATACCATTTAGATGCTCTTTCAGGAATATGAAAATTTAGAATTTCCTGTTTCGGAAACCCTCTGAAAAGATATTCCAAAAGGTAGATTGTTCTAGTGCTGTTCATTGTGTCTGTCCTGACAAGCGTCACAGAATTCGTGAGTGAAAAGACTTAGGAATGACAGCTTATGACCACCTGGGAAAGATCTACAGTTGGGCTCTCTGGAATACGAACTGTGATCATCTAATATTCACCATGAGCTGGAAGGACTTAAAAGTCATTATATAAGATAAATAAGTGTAACCATTAACCACCTCAGCATGAAGTAGAAGCAGAGAGCAGGAAATAAGCTTAAAAAAAAATAAAGAAAAAGAAAAAGAAAAAGGAACAAGGAAAAAATCTATGGTGAGATAGATTCAAGGTAATTACTCAGAAAAGAATCTAGAAAATGGTTAAGAAGACAGAGAAATGGAGTACCAACAAGGAAGAAACACAGAGAGAGGCTTTAAAGTTACATATTAGCCAAGATGATAAGGTGACCCAAGTCAGTTGAGTGCTCTCTTTCATTATTTCTGCCTTGGAAGTTTATGCTGCCTATAGACAGCCAAAAAGGAAAATAAAAAGTTTATGATAGTCCATTTTTTCAGCAGGAGAGGAAGGATGTCAGTCCCCAGATATACACAGAAATTCCCCACCAGCACTATGGAAAAAATGTTGTATAAATACTCAGATAACCAGACAGATCCCCAGAACATCAGGCCAGCCCCACTGGTCCCTCAAACCAGTCCAAATTACCTCTTCTTCAAATAACTTGTCTTTCTGCCGCAGAATCTTATCGTAGAGGTTCCCTCCTGTAATCATAAGTGAGTGAGAAAGACAGAGAGGCTCATTTTAGTTAATGGCAGCAGTTACTCTGCTCAGCTACTGCTAGGAATACTCACATCCCCTAAGAGATCTGATGAATCACTACAGCTCTCCTCCAGCACTCTTCACTTAAACTGGTCAAGCACTCACAAAATTAAGTTCTTCTTCAATCTAAGAACTTCACTGGCATATCTAAGCTTAAGCAGAGATGATTCTTGGTTAACACCAGCATTTAATGCTCTCTGAAAAGTGAATCAGTAAGACAGGCTAGCAGTCCCTACTTTTTGATCTGTAAGTGCTTCTTGGGATACGTAAACATTTATAACCTGTACACCAAATCACGTGAGATTGTCCCACTCAGCATTATATATAAATAAGTAATACATTAAAAAAAAGAGAAAGAAAACAGTTATAAGTTTGGAATAGCCCCTGAAAGCACAAGTTACTGCCTTTTCCCACTTACTGCCCAGCCCCGACCTGCCTCTCTCCTTCATGCGCCCTGCCAAATACATCGATGCAGAATTCATAAAGCATTGGCAAGAGCAGCACCACCACCAACAGAAGCCTGAAATCAGCAGACTCTTAAGGGCACCTCATAATTTCAAGACAGCAGACTGAAAATCAAGGAGAGCTAAAAGAAATGAAGCTGACGGCTGCAGGCAGTGAGACTCCCTGTCAGATTAGCATCCTACCAGTAAATCCCAAATCTCTGATCACATCCTGTTGCTATTCCATTTCCCAGTTATCATATATTATGTCCTAATAGTAACAGAACACCAGGCCCTTTCCCATTCCCATGGGTATGGTGTAAGACAGCTTTCTGCTGTATGATTTCCATGGGCCTGTCAAGTTGTAGATGTCCAAAGCAGGTCACAACGTCTCCTTTGCCTCTTTGAGGGACTTACTTCAGACTTCCATGTTAGGAAGATTTTTCTGATAGTCTAATTAAGATTCCCTTTGCTTAATTTCTTCTCATTCTAATTAAGATTCTCTTTGCTTAATTTCTTCTTATTCAGCCTTGCTATAACCTCTCAACATTTCTTTTTTCTGTCTTATGTTCACACTTGCAAATTACCTACAAATCACTCTTCAGATTCACAATTTAACCAAAGTATTCACTTCTGCCTCTTCTTATGAACCTCTTTCCTAGCAATTCAGACTATGCAGACTTTTAGTGAATTCTGTTCCTCATCTCTGGTTTTTTGCCATCTTTTTTTGCAGCTTTTCTGAACCAAAGGGCAGCATGACAGGTACCACATCGCCAAAATCCTACACAAGGAGACAAATTAGCTCTTGATTCAGATAACCAATACCTCTATGCACATGTACTGAAAAAAAACCCCAAATTACTTTCTGCTTTGTTTCATCTGATCACATCTAACCTTCTGACACTCTTATTCTTTCTTCAGTAGATGTATTTTATAGGATATTTCTTCCCAAATCTATTTCATATGTATTCACTGATGTTATCCCATGATAAATCCAAGTCGTATGGTACCATGATATACATACAGAACTATAGGCAAATAAATCAATAACTTGGCTTCCTCTCCTGTAAAATGGGGACAATATTTACTCATATTTGAAAGTCTTTCCTAGATCTCCAGAAGAGACATGCTAATTAAGCAGCAGAAACTTTGGATTCTGAGGAGTGTTTGATAGTGACTAGTCCAGCCTTACTTTAAAAATTACTCAAAAATTATCTTGGACTTATACCCTGTAAAAAGAGCCACAGAAACAACTATCAACAAATTGGCAAAACGAATATCCATAAGTCTAAATGAGATTCCCTCTTTCTCATGTCCCTGGTTCTGTACCACTCAAGACATATTCAGGCAACGCAGGCTATATGCTCATCTCCTGGTTATTGTCCCAAAGTAAAACAGTTTAGAGACATTAACAAACATGAACCTCACCCTACCTTCCGTGGGACAGGCCTGTCAGGCAGACAGGCTTACTGCAGGGGGGTTGGACTAGATGATCTTTAAAGGTCCCTTCCAACCCAAGCTACTCTATATGATTCTATGTACAGACATCAGTACTGTGCAGCTTCTCTCTGTGCCCTCCAATGAATTTATAATGGCCCCAAGCACGCAGTCTTTTTGGGGCAGCTAAATAACTTGCACAGAGTACTCCTACAATAAATGCTGCATCAAAGATCTAACATTCCCCTACTCTTACACTGGACTCCACCCTGCAAAAGAACAAAAAGCAGAGAAGACAAACCAGCTTTGGCCAACCTGCCAACCAGGGTGTTTGACGCCCTTCAAAAATACCTTGCACAACTCTGTTGTCCTCCCCAACCTGTCCCAGTGAAAGCAATCTAAGATGATAACAACATGATGATAGCCTTTTCCACCAAAAAAAAGTTTCTGCTGATGAGCCAAGGCTTAACGTAACCCCCAAACACACAGGACACCTAGCCAGGGGAGCTGTCCCACTCATCCAAATAGGAACCATATTGCAGCCCTAGTTAGCTATCCTGTTCCAGCAGTATTAGCTGTACATGACCTCCTCTTCGCACTGTCTAAGAGCAGCTGCAACTCAGACTTGCATGTCAAATCCTTCTACCTCTCCATCCCAGCTGGGACTGTTTCCCCTGCAAACTCCAAACTATACCATCTGATCTACTCTTGGATGGAATTTTAAAGTTTTCTCCAACACCAGATGGACCGCATTTTTTTTTTAAATAGTAAACGTAGAAGCTGATAAAACAAGGCAGGAAAAAGTCCCTATTGCAGTGTGCCAGTAGATTTGTAAGCTTTGATTTATAATTGCCAAAGGGAGGGGTCTCTTTAAGTGACGCTACTGAAAAACAGTCCCACTCTGTACTGGCAGAGAGGCCCAAATATCCTCATGGTCTTTTCCCACTGTCCTCCTAAAAGAACACAGCAAGGTGCATTAGAAGTGTACATTACCAATAACCCATTTCTTCCACTGCACCGGCTACTCAGAAGACTCAAGAAACCATATGCTGCCTGAACTGCCTGCACTAACTACTGGGCTTCTTTCTTTGGCACCTGAGACACAAATCAATCAGAATAGTTCTCGATCTCTTCTTCAGGAGCTAGGCAGCAGAATTCACCTCCACTCCTCCGTTCCCCAGAGGACACCCCAGCAATGCTCCTGCAGGTTCTGCAGGGAGGGTGACTCAGCAACATGGCAGCCGCCTGTTTGTAAGTGGGAGTAGGGATCTCACCATTGCAGTACTCCAGCTCAATTAGCAGCGTGGTGTTATCCATGAAGTGATTGTAGTACGCGATGATGTTCTCATGCTGCAACAGGGCAAGGATAACGATTTCGTTCAAAGCATCCCGACGCTCCTTTTCTGACAGCCGGGTCAGATCCACCTCCTTCCACACTACAAGTGAGTCATCCTGAAACACAAAAACATTTTTTAATTAAAAAGACACTACTGCGAAGAGAACAGTATGTGCCTTTATAGCAGGAAATTAAAATTTCAGGAAAGGTAAAAAGACTTTCCTGCCTCTTAGAGATTTCAGACAAAGATTCTTCACAACAGTAAGTTTTGAGGTTTTTCTGTTTGTCACTACGAATAGCGATGGCCTGAAGCCATCTTTCTAGCTGGCCAACACTTCCTTTGGAAAAAAAAAAAACAACCCCAAAAACCCCCAAAAAACATACCACAGGGTTTGCAGGGAAAGACACGGAGTTTGTCTTGTTTCCATAAAGACTAAACAGACTCTGGTTCAATAAAGGGATTTCCTATCCCATAACTGTAGGATACGTTACAAGACAATAAGCCATTACAAATAGCCAGATATTCCTTAAAAAAAACCCCAACCAAACAAAAAAATCAAGGAAATGAGAACAAATTTAGTTCTCCCTTGTTAGGCCCACCCAAGGTGTCCGACATGCTATGTGTGATCTGTTAAGTGAACAGTGTTCACTTACAACTGAGCCGTGACACCTCAGGGTGGCCTTCCCCCAGACAAAAACCTGAAGAACTTCCCTGGGGACCCAAGTGAAGCGCTTTTCTTTGACAGCTGCTAAAAAGCACAACTACGATCGAACTGGATGGGATTAAACGACTTGAAAGCAACGGGAGGACTGCCTTTTCAGCCAGTTTCCCCTGATTATGCCGAAATGCTGATCACACAGGAGTTACCTGTATGAGATGCCCCCATGCCCTCTGTGACTGGAGTAAAACAGAGAAAAATGAGGAATCTATTACCGTCAGAAGAGCCTCCGCATCTCCCTATGAAACTTTAGGGGCTCGAGAGACTGGCGGCATTCAAACACGCCGAAACCCAAACCCTGCGCCCCTCCACACCGAGGGCCGAGGTCGTCGCTTCGCACCTGGGCTGTTCCCGCCGGGGGCTGTTGTCACCCAGGGGGCTGTCAGTCACGGCCCGGGGCCCTCAGT